ATGTACCAACTTGCTCCTTTAGAATTTCATAGCTGGAATGCCTCCCTACTTCACTCATTATGTTGGGTACAAAGTCAGAGGCACATGGCTAAAAGGAGGCACATGGCAAAAAGCTGGCAGCTGCAAATCCTGCTGAGCAAGGTTGAGTGTTGGACGGGCTAAGCACTCCATATATGTCCAATTGGGCTGGAATTTGGATATGTTGTACTAGACACCCATTGGAACAAGTTTCATGAAGATCATCACCTCATTCGAGCCCCATAGCATGCTCATCCAAGGCCAAGAAGTTGACCTACGAAACTGGGCTGGCAAGGAGTTGTAGCCAAAATGAGTTTGTCTTTAAGCTCTTCTTCCATTCACCCAAATAAGGCCTTAACATGCATGGATTGCATCATTTCCTATCCAAAGTCATCATTGTTACCTAAAGCTCAATGAACTGAAACATAAACACAAAAAGGATTAAAAGCACAAGTTTAACTCAAAAACATAACCAAATCATAAGCTAGAACGGTACAAAATAATATATAAATATGCACCGATCATCCATGCCATGCGAAGCCAATAATACTGTTTGTGCCTGATAAATCACGGCCATAAGTTGGCCGAAGGAGTTCCTCTCTCGGCCCTGGCACTTGTTCATAAAAACTGAAACGCAGCATTTCGCCAGGATACTTCGCCTTCCTAAAGACAAAAGAGGAAATGCTAAGGCATGACCGTCTCGGCCTCAAGCGCAGGCCGAGGCCGAGGCCAAATAGAATCGCGGCCAGAAATATTAAAATCAGATCATCACGTGATGGCAGGGACCCAAGCTTCATTTAATGAAGTAGTGCCTGTTTAATGCAGCAAACCCACTAGCTACAAGGAAGCATTTAATGCATGAGGGAAGGTGGGAAGTGACTGAAGTCAGAATTTGGTGATGGGGATGAGAGCGATTAGACGTGGCCATTCTCACAAGAATTCTGACAGCCTGAGATATTGGTTCACCAGCTATCCAGGCCATAAATGCGTCTCCACGGCCAGAAGCTCAGAACCCGATCAAGAGCGGCGGCCGAGATTCACCGGGATTTCTGGGGTCACCCCACCATACTTCACGATTCCAAATGTCGATTGGACTGCCCACTTGCTCCAAACCAGCGCCACCATGCAGATTTTTAGCCTAGGAGTAGTTGTAGATTGTAAGGAAAATCCATTCATCAATATATCATACGACCCTTGATTTTCAAGGCGCCGGAGCACCATCCTTGTTGTCTGTTCATTCACCCCATATATCATACGACCGTCGCTCCCTGAGCAACGCGGCAGAGCACCGCCCAAAACCCACCACCTACACCATCACTCAACAGCCTTGTAGTTCAGGCCGTGGACCTGACAGCCGAGACCAGTTCCTCTCTCGGCTACAATCGTTTGATTAGGAAGACGAGTTCAAACAGGCGCACCACTCGACCATCCAACACTCATCAATTCATCGACGCACGGTAGACCGTGCTGGCACGCCCGCGCACAAACCGCACCGCACCCAAAAGCAGGAAATCGCGTGTTAACGTATATCCCCTCGGCCCGAAACTCCAGGCCGTGAGATTTGTGCGGCAGACAAATACATTTTTCATATGTCAATCACCTATCAAGCTCACATGAACCCAAGTCATGTGGTTTACGGGGCTTGTACGAGGGATTGTGGTGTGGAAAGTTACGGAGGTCCACAAGGCCCACGGAAGCTGTTGGATAATGGAGACTTTGGGCTAGATACTTGGGAGCACCAAAGTCCAAGTCCATTACTTAGAGTTCTCCAATGTGGGTGAGCAAATGAGATATGTTTCAAGCACTTCCTTTTACCCATAGGAAATAGTCATTTTCCAAATGTCTAGCTCTATACGCTGGAAATAAGAATGTCCCAATGCTCCCTATTACCCGCTGGAAACAAGCCAATTCCAACAATCCCTTTTACCCATAGGAAATAGTCATTTTCCAATGCCTAGCTTTACCTGATGGAAAATAGCATGCTCCAGTGCTCCCTTTTAACCATTGGAAATAGGCTAGTTCCAGCATCTCCTTTTATCTATTGGAAATAAAGGAAAAACCTCATCCTCTATAAATTGGCAGGCATTTGCTAGGCAAAATCAACCTCTCTTGGTTGTTGTAAGCTTCTCAACAACCATGAGAACTCATCTTCTTTCCTCCCTTCGGCTGCTGCAAGCATTTCAGCGGCCATCCCAGCCATCAACCTCCATCCTTTGGCTGTTGCAAGCATCCCAGCAGCCATCGACCAACATCTCTTGGTTACTTAAGCACCCTAGCAACCATCAAACCACTTTCCTTCCTCCCTTTGGCCGCTACAAGCATTCTAGCGGCCATCCCAGCCATTCCTCAACCATCACCACCATGTCTCCTACTTTCTCACTCTTGAAATCCGTCATCTTCTCTATAAAGCCTCACCAAGCATAACTCCAAGCTTTTCCTCAATTCCAAGCTATAAACATCATAGCCTTCAAACCTCAAGCTTTTCCTCCCATTCTCCTTCTCTTGAAACTCTTAAATCCATAAAGTCTCACCAAGCATAACTCCAAGCTTTTCCTTCCTTCCAAGCTATAAACACCATAGCCTTCAAATCTCAAGCTTTTCCTCTCATCCTCCTCTTGAAATCTTAAATCCCCATAGTCATAGCCACAAACAACAAATTATCAACACCCAAACTCAAGCATATCCAACACCAAGCCAAGCACATGCATTCTCATTTGCTAAACTTGTGGGTCTTTAGCTCCCACACTCCAAGCTCTCAAGCCAAGCTCACACAATCTCAATCCAACATCATGTTCAACTCTTCGTAAAGTTGCCGGAAAGGTTAGCGCAAAATATGCAGCCGCTGGAAGAAAAACAAAGTACTCCCCTGGGACTTGCTTCTCCCTCGGGATACTTTGGGCCTAGTCCTCGCTAACTCAGAAAAAGGGGCAACGAAGGCTTGATCCACCACTCTATGGCGGTCCAAGAATCAATAAGCCCGGACAGGCCTTCCAACAGAAAAAGACCCCAACACTTGGGTTTTTGTTAAATTGGTTTTGGCTTTAATTGCTTTCGGTTAGGTTTCTTGAATCTTCATGCTCATCCATCTGGGTTTTTACCAATTGCATTTAGATTGCTCTGGATATGTGAATCTTGAAACTTGGGATTTTCCATTTGATGTACTAGATTCGTATAGTGTGATTGTGATGAATCCTTGTTCACTGCTGTGTTAGTGTTGTATTGCTGTTGTGTTCTTGTTATTTTGCTATGGTATTGCTGTTATGTTGCTATGTTATATTGCCATTGTATTGCCTGGTTATTATGGTTGTACTGTGTTAATGAAATGTTATTTTGTCATGGTCAGAAATGAAGACAATTGTTATTTTGGTTTGCTACAATGGAAAATGGGTAACCTCAAAGAAGATGATCAAAATGAAGGGGGTGACTCAAAAGGCTTAATAGTTCCACGGACCATCACATTTGCTGAATTGTTGGATAGTGTGCATCAGATTGGTAATACAAACAGCAGGGAAGACAAAGTTTGCTTAAAGTTTTTCAGTTTTGGTGGCCTCGAATGAGTGGAAGCACATAAATATTGAGGACGATGATGATGCCAAATTTTTATGAAGTATAATTGTGAGGTAACACCTTCAAAACTAGCTCCCTTACTCGTGAGTATAGAAGATAAAGGACTGACAAATGATATAGTTGATAGTATGCATATCATGACAGATAGTAGTCGGATGGGTCGTTCTTCAGTTGCCATTGTTGAAAGCAATGAAGTAACTCAGAATAATACAAATGTCGTTGATGTGGGAGGTGATGTTGGGACAGATTTTATGGACATGATTGATTTTAGCGAGGTGGAGGAGATGCATGGTGGTGATAATGGTATTGAAAGAAATGAAGTGTCAGTGTACTCTGCCCCTCCTAATTTGGGCCGCTTGGACACATCTGCCCAATTGCCAATAATGCGTTTAGGAGGAGAATCTGAACCCACTCATGGACATTATCTGAGTCAAATGGGTGAACAGAACCAGTACAATGTGGCTGGTGTAAATGATGAAGAAGCATATTTGGACAGGGGGTATTCGCGATGTGATTGGAATCCGATAATTCAAGTTGGGCAAATTTTCTCTAGTAAGGGAGCATTGTTGACCGAGTTACGGTTGACCGCATTAAGAGGCCACTTTGAATTTAAGGTGCAATTCTCTTGCACTAAGAGGTTGCTTGTGGTTTGTTGTCAACGTCCATGCCGATGGCGGGTCCGAGCATCGAGAATTGGAGAATACAACTTCATGATTGTGAGGTGTACAGCTGTCCATGAATGTGATTTGAGGTTCGTAAATGACAACCATCGTCAAGCAACCACAACACTTGTAGCCACTTCATTTAAAAGGAAGTTGAAGGATTCTCGGACAATATACACACCAAGTGACATAATGAGAGATGTGAAACACAACTTTGGTTTGACCATCCATTATTCGAAAGCTTGGAAAGCAAGGGAGTTAGCTCTATTGTCCATTAGAGGATTAGCCGAGGAGGCTTATTATATCCTTCTAGCCTATTGCTATGAATTGGAGCGTATGAATCTCGGCACAAAGACACACATCCAAACTGATGAGAACAATCACTTTGTGTATTTATTTATGGCAGTTGGCGCATGTATTAGAGGGTTTCGTTCTTCCATGCGCCCAGTGATAGTTATGGATGCCACTCATTTAAAATCTAAGTACAAGGGTGTTATGTTTGTAGCAAATGCATTCAATGGTAATCAAAATATATATCCTCTTGCTTTTGGGATCGGGGATTTGGAGACGGATGCATCATGGCCTTGGTTTTTCACTCTACTTTATGAAGTCATTGGTGAGTGTCCCAATCTTGTTATCATTTATGATCGCAATGTTAGCATAGAGAATGTGTGGAACAAAGTTTTTCCAACAGCGCAGCATGACATATGCTTTTATCATATGAAGGGGAACATGAAACACACTTGCAAGTTGAAAAAGTGTGATAAAATACTGATGCACTTTGAGCAGGCTGCGAAATCGTATTCAATTGCTGAATTTGATTGTCATTTTCGCAAGATCAAGAGAAAGGAACACGTTGCTCAATATCTTGAACATCAGTGTTACATAAGTGGTCTAGAGCTCACATGGATGGACGCCGCTACAATGTAATGACAACAAATATTGCGGAGTCAATAAACTCAGTCCTTAGGTTTGTAAGGATGCTGCTAGTGGTTCATTTGATAGGGGAAATTATTAATCTCCTTTTCAAATGGTTCACTGAATGTCGTGAGTTGGCTTTGAATTGCACAACAACATTGTGCCCCAATTTTGGCAGAAGAAGTTGAGGAATAGGTTGGAGGATGCTGCAAGGATGAATGTCGTTAAACTAAATAATGTACAGTTTAATGTTTTTGGACGGTGATATGGACGACCTCATAGATTTGACGAACAACAGTTGTAGTTGTAGAAAGTTTCAACTTGAGCACCTACCTTGCAAGCATGTAGTTGCAGTTTGCCGCTTCTTGAAACTAAATGTATACTCGAAGGCTTCTCAGTATTACACTCGGAATACCTGGTTGGATGCTTATTCGGATAGCATCTACTGGGTATAGCCTCACGGAATGTGTGTATTGCCTTCAGATTGTCATTATATTGTACTGGTATTGCTATTGCAATGTAAACTGTCAGTACAAAATTAAAGGCCCTGGAATGTAACTCCAAATGGATCCAAAACATTAAAGTTCTTTGAATTCCATTATTACACAGTTACCGTGATACTCCTACTACACCTTCTTTTCTAATTAAAAATTCAGGCGATGCATGGGGCAAATACAAGGTGAAATGTCCTATGTGTTTAACTGGATATAGTTGCTGAAGAAGCATTACGACTATTAACCCCAACAGATTTCTCATATCTTGCCAAGAACACCCTTGAATTTATGCAATGTGCCCAAGCCAGTCCTAAAGCTCGACTCACCCGTCTGCCTGATGTGTGCAGGCACTCCAAGTTTCCCAACCTCACCCCATCATGTGGCCCAATAAAATCCACCACTTGGTTGGTGACAACCACCGCCAACCCAAACTTATTTGCTAAAGCCTTCAATGTCCCAGATATGTTGAAGAACATTTCAGACCGCCGTTTCAAATATGCCAGTGTTGTCTGAAACTATGATCAGAACAATGCAACAATGGAATCAATGACAATGAGTTTCACAGGTAACCGGGTGTGATCAATGGCAATAAATGCTTCTATGTCTCGAAGGACATGGATGAGTTGTTGAGCATCATGAACGCCATGAACATATATGTCTTCCAACCGGGTATGATGCATGATAAAGGTTGCCTAGTTGTTGCAATCAACGAAATGAGAAGCTGAATTATGTGAATATGTAGAGGGAGGAGCCCCCTAGTCCGCCATGTGAGGGCGGGAGCTGAGCTCTTACTGTAAGTTGGAGACAAAGTTGTGTCTTCCCGGAACTGCTCTCCCCTACCAATTCTGTTATGGAGTTGCAGGGTATCCCACCGCCCAAGCAGCCATCTAGTATTGGGCATCCGATGGATAATTTAGGGGTTGAAAGAGGAAGGAGCATGAGGTTTTCTGGTGTCATGTTTTCGTAATTTAGGGGGGGATGTCATGGTGCTACAAGGCATGAATTGTATATATAGAGTCCATATTGATGGTGTGTAATGTAGGCCATATGTCTTTTAAGGTATGTATACTTCATCCCTTTTCCAATTTTTAATTAAATTTTTTTTAATTATTATTATTTTTTTGGACCAAATAATTTAAAAAACAGTCTGATGCAGTACCTACTGCAATAGAATCGTATTGTAACTCTATTGTGCTCTTATTGACATCATATTGCCATTATACGCATTTGTATTGTGGAGTTATTGTCGCTATATCGGCACTGAACTGGACACGAATAAATTGTATACACACAAATACAAAAAGAGGCATCATAATTCCATAAAATCCAAATTCAAAACTTACATAATACAACAAGAGGCCACCCCATAGTTACATAATACAAAAAGAGGCCACCTCATAGTTCCATTTTACATGTTGTTTCCACTACATTTTACTGCTGTTGACAAGTTTGCTGCTGTTGACACATTCGAAGTTGCATACACTTCAATTGTGGCGACCGCGAGCCATGAAATTCACGACCCTGCCCACAGTGATGTTGTCCCAGTTTCCTTCTGGATCCACTATTTTTGCAAACTTATGAAATAGTTCGAATCCGGTTTCCACTTGTTATTGCTTCAACCAGGCCATTTCGTCAGATTCCTTGAATACCATAATTGCAGTGGCAGGGGCAATTTCAATTTTTACTTTCATACCCTTTATATGTAGGAGATGCATGCGGGCATGATGACGAGAGCGAATTGTGCTCTTTTTTATGACATCCCACCTAGCTTGGCCCTTCAAAAATTTTGAAACCATGTCTACATGGAGATTTTTCCAAAACATGGTATTGCCTCGACATTGCTACATGCCATGGACCAAGTCTACAATCAGTGAATTGGGTGACTTCTCTTGTGCTTCAGTCTCCCTTCCTTAAGTAATTGAAAGCGTTGGGTTTGGTGTGAGGTTATGGTCCATGGTTTTGGATATTTATTGTAGACTGGTGTGGGACTTAATTGGAGAAAAGTGGGACTAAATGCAATGAGAGTGAAATCAGTGGGGAAGGTAATAGCTGCAAGCTTTAATGTAATGGAAGTTTGCTCTTCATACAACTATGTTGAAGTTTAATATAGGTAGTATTTTTATTTTATTTTGGTCATATTAATATAGGTAGTATTAATGAGCTAAATTAGTGAGTAATTGGCGGGAGGGATTGGGGGAAGTATTTGGCGGGATTCACTGGCGGGAGTCTTTGGCGGGATAGTATTGGCCGGGAGTTATTACCCAATTGGCTGTATGACTTTTTGTAATATATTTGTATTTTGGAATTTCCGAATTTGGAAATTTTCCCATTTTATAATTTAAATAATTTGCCTAATTTGCCTAATTGACCAACTAATTCAAATTGTCCAATATGGTAATTTTCTTATTTCCTATTTCCGCAATTTCAATTCGTTTCCAATTTTCCATTTTTACTTTTTTCCTATTTCCAATATTCCAATTTTCCTTATTTCCTATTTCCAATTTTCCAATTTTCCAAGTTTCCTTTTTTCCTATTTCCATTTTTCCTATTTTCCTATTTTCCAACTGTCCTTTTTTCTTATTTTCCAATATTCCTATTTTCCTATTATCCAATTTTCCTTATTTCCTATTTCCAATTTTCCAAGTTTCCTTGTTTCCTATTTCCATTTTTCCAATTTTCCAATTTTCCTATTTTCCAACTGTCCTTTTTTCTTATTTTCCTATTTTCCTATTTTCCAAGTTTCCTTATTTCCTATTTCCATTTTTCCTATTTTCCAATTTCCCAATATTCCAATATTCTAATTTTCCTATTTTCTAATTTGCCTATTTCATATTTGCCTAATCTAATTTTTCTATGTTCCAATTTATACGTGGAAATTTTCGTATTTTCCCAAAGTTTCATATTTTCCTATATATTTAATTTGGAATTTCCCAATTTCTTGGTTTTCTCAATTTTTGTATATCAATATTTTGCCTAATTTGGCAAATGTACCAACTTATTCAATTTGTCCAGTAGGGTAATCCCATCAATTACACCCAAGGAGTAAATGGTGTAATTTGCAATCCCATCAATTTAATGCACCAACTAAATACCCAATATAATTCACAAAAGTCTTACATATAACTGAAGCATAGCCACCTTCTTAACGGGAAAGGTAATTATTCTTACCGAAAGGCAAACATTCTCTAGTAAAGCGGACCATATTGTTGTTTACAAGTTTTCATAATGTCCAACTGGAGACTGAATGTACCTTTATTTGTTTTTTTGCATACTGTAGCTGTTACATTACTCCCCAGCCGTGGCATGTGCCGTTCCCATCTCCACCTCTAACTCCCAATGACGATCCCACTTCATCTGGAAGTGAGGCTGAGAGCAATGATCCGCTTGACAAAATCTCTGCCGTCAAAGCACGAGCTCCAATATTTGTCAAAGGCAACGAATTGGTGGGAGACCAAGTGTGATATTCATGGCCAAGTTATGGGGAACTTGGCGAACAAGTTGAACAAAGCATATGGTGGAGAAGTTAAGGAAACTCTAAAAGCAATAAGTCGGAGCAAAGAGTTAGAGTCCCTCAAGTTAAAACTGGAAGAGACAAAGAAATATGCTGTCCAACAATTCAAAAAATCTGAAGAATATAACCATGAAATGGTTGAATGTTTCAACAATGGGTTCAAGATGTTCAGAGATTATGCTTCGGTCATCTCACCAGACTACAATTGGACCGAAATTGATGCAGCTGGTGTCTGGCAGGTGCTAAATATGGGTGGAGGGGAATGGCTCATCATAGCCTAGTGCATGCAGCGAGGAAGAAGGCCAAAGACATGAATCTTTTGATGGACCTCTAAAAATGAGCATTTTCCAGGTGATGTGCAGCTGGGTAAGGGTCACTGCTGCTTCGGTTGATGTTGTGTTGGGTGGTGCGATGCGAAAGTGTTGCCTTCATTTTCCCTTCGCGGTATAGTATTGTTAGGGTTCGGTGGCGATTTATTTTGCATGTGTAAAATGTAGTCTCAAAAGGATGTCTGTGTAACAACCCGGTCCTAAATTAATAATTAAATATTAAATTATTCAAGAAAAAGACAATTTTACCCCGGGAATGTTTAAATGATTTAAGAATTGACTTTTTATTTGAGGAAGATTAAATAATTAAAATAAGAGGAAATAAGTTTAAATGAGAAATAAATTGAAATAAATAATAACAGAAGTATGTTTTGAATGAATTAAGTTTTTTAAAAAAAATTAAAATACTAATTAATATTAAAGGGGCAAAAAGGTCATTTTAAGTTCGGAGCTTGTTGGTTCTATTTTTTTTTTTTTCTATTTTTGCTTTATTCTCTATATTTTTATCTTTAACATTATATATATATAATTTAAGTTAGTAACATATAAATTGTATATAAATTGATTTATAAACTAGAGGAAATTCAATAAGTGACATACATATGTTTTGAGTATGAATTATTTCGAGGATTGCGGATCAGGTTGATTAAACGTCCCCTGAGTCCTGCAAGGATTGCT